CTGCTAAAGACTTAAGTTATCTTTATCCTTAAGTCATTATCCTCCTAACAGATTTTGTAGTTTCACTCCTGTCCCCTCTACTTAATCACTGCCTTAGCTAGAGCTGATTCTCAAAGCCAGATTTGATTATTTTATCTGTATTTGCCTGGTTTTCCAGAGACACAGACCAACAAGGTATGGAGATGTATAAAAATTTATTACAAGAATTGCTTCATGCAGTTATGGAACCTGAGAAGTCCTAAGAGCTGCAGCCAGTAAGTTAATGTCCCAGGAGAGCTGGGTCCCATCTGAGTCCAAAGGCCTGGGAACTAGAAGAACTGATGATAGAAGTTCAAGTTCAGTGAGCAGACTGAGTCAAGAAGGGCCAATGTCTCCTTAAAGTCTGAAGTCAGGAAAAGATCAATATCTCAGCTTGAAGCAGCCAGGCAGAAGGAGTTCCCTCTTACTCAGGGGAAGGTCTTCTTTTTACGTCCTATTCAAGCCTCCAAGTGATGGAATGAGGCCCACTCAGTATTGAGGAGGGCAGTCTGTTTTACTCGGTCTATGGATGCAAATGTTGATTTCATCCAAAACACCCTCACAGACACACCCAGAGATATGTTTGACCAGTTATCTGAACACCCAGTGATATCGATGATACTGTCAAGTTGACACATAAAATTTGCCATCACACTGCCTATTACATAAATGCCTTAGTGGCCATTTCCTTCTCTGAAGGGACAAAAGTTTGGCATGACTTCTAAGGCTTTATATTATCTAACTCACTGTTTTGCATATTCTTCTCTGCTTGAGACACACTAACTTTTCTATTCTACGTGTAAGCAATCATCCTTGACAGCACAGGATCTGTGCACATCTGTTCTGTGTACTCCTTTTACCACACACATTTCCCAAGTTAACTTCTACTTATAGCTTAGAAGCTGTAGCTTTTTGTTTAGAACTTGTAATAAACGTTCAAAAATTATTTTATAAATTTTCAGTGGGGCTTGGGGGTAACATTAAAAATATTTAATAAGTAAGACATGGGAATTAATCAGTCAAAATACATGCCAGCTACCAGAGAAGCATTTTAGGGACACTGATCTATAAGATGTCAACCCATTAATTTTTTAATTGTGTTTTGGTCTGGGTTTGGATAATCCAGGATATTCCTGGGGGGAGAGTATAATAGTCAGGGAAGGTAGGCACTGAGAGATTTGGAGAATCAATTATTTGTCAACCCTTAACTATTTTGATATTTTAATACCAATATGGCTGTTGAAAGTAACCCACATTATTGTGTTAGGATTATTATTATTTCCCATCAGTTGCACACCGGTATTTAGACTTAGATGGAGTTTACCTATAGATTTTGGCAACATTTTCAATCAGTTCCATTCCTGTAAGTTCTTCTTATAGGACAAATAGACCCGAGTCTATTCCTTTATTACACTTTGCACAATTATAATTTTACTTTAATTTGTAAAATGATTTAATTGACCTTTCTAGCACTAGACTGTAATTTCAGTGAAGGCAAACACTATATCTATTTTGGCACAACATATTATACTACATGCCCTCAAAAAACTGTGGTGCATATTGAAGTCCATAAATACATACTGAAAGGATGAATGTAAATGTCTTTCATATAGTTAGTACTCAACACATCTTAATTTCCTTTCCCCCTCCTTCTTACTTCTAAGGATGACATAGTACATGTATTTATTTTAATCAACACATAATAGCAAACTCACAGATACACAGCTACCCAAAGTTTAAGGAGCAAAAATTGAAATTACATAGTAAGTTGTGGAATTTCCCTCTCATACTTGTGCCAAAAATAGGCCATGGAATGGGAGGCTTATTTTCTTGATAAAATTGCTTCTATTTCTTACCTTCTGAGCTTTGGGTAAACTCAGCCCCAGATCTCAACTTTTGTTTTCCCTCTCACACCAGGCCACTGTGCCTTCTGTTATACTGAACACATTGCCAAGCTGTATACTCACCCTTGAGAGATTCATCATGGAGAAACTGGACCTCTAGGCTTCCAAGGCCGAGGGGACTTAGATTTAAATAAAAGCCAGTGTAAAGGCAATTAATGACCCTAATCATCAGCTTCCAAAAAAAAAAAATACTTGTACAAAGAGGGAAATGTTTCTAAAGAAAATAAAAAGAAATTATTATGCCTAGGACCAAAATGAATTAGGACACCACAAACTAAGACAAATGCTCATGATTAAGAGTCATGGCTCGTCTTCAAGTGTCATTTATATACTTTCAGACCTTGAAATTTCCAAAACAAAAGAGATCTGCACTTTTTCTTGTACTCATTATCTAGTCTGTTCAATGTTCCATGTAGTTTATGCCTCTGTGAAATTGAATATAATTGGTTTATGGAAACTAAACAAAAGCTTAAATTCAAAGCACATTTAGAAATCCAAATTCATTCATTTGGTCCACATACTCATTGACCCTCATCTGGCCAACTCTACCATCCTTTGTACTTTTCTGTGATTAAACCTAAAAATATGTTTAGATGAGATTGCAAATAAGTGTGGTGAGAAGATATTTTGATTTATTAGCCAACATAATTTCCCTACTATTTCTGTACCTGTATTCTGACCCCTCATCCCTACCATAGCCTCAAACAAATTAGATTAAGGCATTCTGCCAGAATTGTTTGCTGAAGACTGCAGTGAACAGAAGAAAAATCTCAGCTTTTGACAAATAAAAAGCCAAGACCCAAAAAGAAACTAGATTTGAAAGAATACAAGAATGACAAAACCAGAGCAATGTTTTTAACCCCTAGAGTCTAGATAAAATTTGCCACAAAGGAAGAAAATGATTTTTTTTTTAATGGGAGTAAAAAGAGAAATAGCGAAAACTTTGTGAGAAGGTCCTTGCACCATACCCTTTTCCCCCAAGCTCGTTTGGGGTAGGAAAAATGTTGGAATTCTTGAATTTGGTTTAGAAATCTAAGAGCACAGAAGTGTATCCTTCAGCCACAGAGAATGTTCTGGAAACTGGTTAGATCTTCATCTTATCGGAAAAAAAAAAGTCCTGTGCACACTAGAAGAGCAAAGAAGTATTAAAGGGGTTTTCATTGCCGCAGAGAGTTCACAGAGTTTTCCACACCCTGGTCCAGTAGATGAAAGCGGCTAAACATTTCCAGTGGTGGATAGTGGATGGTGGCAGGTGGTGGAGGGCTGAACCTAGAAGTTTCCTGTAGTCAGAAGTGTGGGACATTCCCACAGCTCCCTGAATGGGTCTGAGTCTACAGAGCAGGGCACATGAAATACGGCTCAAGAGATGTCAGTCTGCAATGATAATAAGCAAGAATCAGATGTTCCCCATCCCCAAGCATGGCATCGTGCAGTCCTGGGAGTAGGAAAACTAATTTGACTACGCTTCACTTTTTCCACCCAAGAACCTCAGGCACAAAGTTGGAATCAAGGTGATATAAAAATATATATATATATATTAAATAGACATTGTTTTTTAAGCCTCAGAGCTTTGGGGATTTTGAATGAAAGGCTTTAGAGAGTGATATCAAATAATTCTTGCCTTTGTTACAGACTTTGGTCTTGTCTTAGTTTGGGGTGTTTGGGATGCTGTAATAAAGTACCATAGATTAGGTGGCTTATAAACATTAAAAAAATAATTTCTCTGGAATCTAGAAGACTGAGATCAGGGTGCCAGCATGATTAGTTTCCAGTGAGAGCCCTCTTCCGGGTTGCAGACTACTGACTTCTGGTTTCCTCACATAGTTAAAAGAGAGCTAGCAAGCTTTCTGGCCTCATCTTTAAAAAACACATTAATACCATTCTTAAAGCTCCACTCTCATGATCTAATCACCTCCCCAAAGCCCCATCTCCAAATACCATCACATTAGGATTAGGGCTATAATATATGAATTTTGAGGGGACACAAACATTCAGTCCATTGCATATCCGGACAGATTTATTAAGATTTAGGTTTTCCTGTGATATGCCATGATAATAGTTGATAGGACATTTTCAGGAAAAACAAAAAGCTAAAGCAGGGGAAATTTAAAGGGACACCCTATGATGCTCTGTGACTACCATGCTCTATTTGCCGTGGCTTCAGACAGTTTTGTGTGGACATAGACAAGCACAGACAAAGGCACCCAGGGTGTCTTCCCCATAATCACTATTAAGGCAAGTCTATAGGATTGAAGACTGAAGAGTAAAGAGGATTGAGAATGTACATTGGTGCAGCCACTATGGAGAAAAGCATGAAAGTTTCTTAGAAAACTAGAAGTAGAGTTACCATATGATCCAGTAATCCCACTTCTGGGCATGTATCTGGAAAAGACAAAAACTCTTAATTTGAAAAGACTTCTACACCCCAGTGTTCATAACAGCACTACTTACAATAGCCAAGATGTGGAAACAACCTAAATGTCCATTGAGAGATGAATGGATAAAGAAATTTTGGTGTATGTGTGTGTGTGTGTGTGTGTGTGTGTGTGTGTATCCATATATATATGGATACTACTCAGCCATAAAAAAGAATGAAATAACACTATTTGTAGCAACATGGATAGACTTAGAGATTATCATTCTAGGTGAAGTAAGTCAGACAGAGAAAGACAAATATCATATATCACTTATATGTGGAATCTAAAAAACATGATAGAAAGGAACTTATTTACAAAACAGAAATAGACACACAGACACAGAAAACAAACATGGTTACCAAAGGGGACTGTAGGGGATAGGGACAAATTAGGAATTTAAGAATAACAGATACACACTATGCTATATAAAATAGATAAACAACAAGGACCTACTGTATAGCACAAGGAACTGTATTTAATATCTGGTAATAACCTATAATGGGAAAGGATCTGAAAAAATATATGTGTGTGTATACATGTGTATAACTGAATTACTTTGCTATTCCCTGAAACATTATAAATCAACTATATTTCAATTAAAATTAAAAAAGAGTAAAGGAGACAGAAGACCACTAAGTAGGCAATGTCTGCTACTCAAAACAATACATGCCAGGTACATTAGAGGGACATTACATGAAAAGGAACAGTTTTTAACTAAAAAATTAACCCAAAAGTTATTGAAGAATAAAGCCACGATCAAAACATAAACTGTGTAAAAATACAGGGCATTCCTTTGCTTCTGTCTTTTCTTTGCTTCCATGGGTGTGCATCAGTTTTGACTTTCCTTGGGAAGGAGCAAGGGAGTATGCACCCTCCCCCGGGTACTTCCTGCCCTTCTGTGTTCTTTGCCAGCAAGGACCACAGACTCACTGATCTAGCCTGGTGGATTTCCAGAAGCCTCTTATTTCCCCCACCTTGTGCTCCAACATGCAAACAACTTTACATAGACCTTGAGTTTTAAAATGAGTGATCTGGAAGAGAATGTTGAGGTAATTTGCATAAAGTCAGGTATCCAACTAACTTACCCTGGGTCTGGCTCCCTCATGGTCCTGCTGTTTTGCTGCTTCTTAAATCAGTCAGAACAGAGAGAGTGATCCTGGATATTAACCTACATACAACTCATCTGCATGGAAGCTACAGGTCAGGGGTGCCAAGGTGAAGCGGGCACATGAAGTGTAAGAAATTGGTCACTGAAAATCCCTTTCATGCCTAGTGTTTTTTTAAGGCGTATAATGGTTTGCAGTACATTACTGGGGGTGTTCCAGTCGAAGCAGTTAGTTACAGTCTATCACACTTGTATTAAACTCCTCTGGAATGGGGGACAGTTTCCTTCCTGAATAAGGTTGAAAGAGTGACTTGTTTATGCTCAGAAATGCAGGTACCTAATCATTTACTTGTTCAGTGTTTCACTGAAGGTGTCTTCTGGAGCTCTTGCCCTTGAAGAACTTGTTAAAAGGTGAATGCGGAGCCCTAGTCAAAAATCTCCTGAATCAATAGAGATGGGCTGAGCTTGAGAATTGGGAGGGGGACCCTTGGAATCTTTGCTTTTTTAAACTGCCTACTTTTTCCCACTAAAGTTTGAGAAGAGCTTTTCTAGCTCTTTAGAACCAGACTGCCTCAAACATGGTTTCCCAGGGCAAGCGTGGGCCAAGTCAAAGTGAGCCATGGTTTCTTTGGTGTGAAATGCCTCTGAGTTTCATTAGGGTGAATTGGTCCACTGGGATTCTGCCCCGTTGGGTGAGCTGAGATTACAGAGTTGATTAGCAGCCAAGAGAACAGACTGTAGCCCCCGGATACCGCTGAATAAGCCATAGCCGTGTGTGCATCACTGAGTGTATGGTCCCGTCAAATTTATGGACAACTCTTGTTTATAATCTCGTGGCATATGCTGCCGTACTATTTGTTTATAAAGGGCCGAGGCTGGGTGTATTGTGCATCACAAATGATATACTGTAGAGTTTCCCAGGATAAATGAAATATGTCCATTTTGCCCCATCTGGATCTTGTTTTATTTTTTTTCCATGATTAGCATTTTGGCAGTTTTCACTCTTCTGCTGTTCTATGTACCCAGGGGAGGTGAAGAGTTGAGCTCTTTCCAAAATCAGGGTAGTGCTATGTGGGGAAAAACTACAGCTGAAAGGGCACTTTCTTCATGTAGATTCTCCACACTTGGGCGGAGGATGCAGAGGTTGTGATTATGATTAGTGGGGAGTGAAAGCACCGTGAGATCAAGGCTCATGTGAGTCACAAAGCGTGGAAATGTTCTTACCAGATGATAGTCAGGATACAGGAGATTTTCTGTCCCCCAGAACCAGCTGAGCTTGTGAATTCACCACGATACAGTTTCGCTGAACTGCAGAAGGAGGCCCTGTTCTCAGTGATGAATTTAGTCTGCTTGAGATAAAAATGGGGTCACGATGTTCATTTGACACCTTGTTAATTTATGCTGCAACCAAACCAAACCAAACCAGATTCACTTGCTGCAGTAACACGACTTATTCTTTTTTAAATAATGCTAGAACAGAACCAAAGTCTGTTTTTCATTTGGGGCAAGTTACGGGAGTAGAACGCAGAAACCAAACAGCCCACAAGGGCAAAGGTCTCTTTTTCACTTGTGAAATAGACATAAGCAACTCAGAATTCAGAGTCTTTCTGGGCTGATGGCTTTGTGCTTTAAAGAGAATTATCTCTGGTTCTTTTCAGTTTTCTATTTAAACAATAATGGCCTATACCTGATATTTTTAGGTGAGACCTTATGTCTCAGATTTAAAATAGCTCGCTGTTCTATTTCACAAAACATATTTCTGTTCATATTTTTATTCACATTTACAGGCTAAATTTTTACTTGCATTATACAGTTTCATTTTAAATGTGTAGAATCAGGAAATGAGAGGTCAATTTATGATAAAGAGGCAGCATGTAATACCCAAAGTAAGAGAGAAAATCAAGAAATAGTTTTTAGGAGTTTTGATTAAGAATTAATGCACATGGCCATCTACACTCAGAAGACTTCCCAGATTTCAGGTACCAAAATACTTTTATTTTCATATTACTGCAATTAAGTATTATACATAAAATGCCTAATGTATTTTAGATATATTGTTAGAGATGATGCTGCCACTTCAAATGGTGAAAGAGTTTTATTCAAACAAAAAACCAAAATTTTCCAATTAAAATACTGTTCTGCTTATATTTATGTATTTCCATAATTAACTGAAACTTCTATTGGTACAAATTATTCTGCCTATATTATGCCTCTTTGTAATACATATTACATATTATATAGTATATCACCAATTGACATGTGAACTCAAAATATTAGCTCTCCCTTTCCATTTTCTGCCTCTGCAGAAACACTACTGATTTTTCTTACTTCTAGAATCAGACGTAGGGCCAGCTCCAGAGACAACCTATTCAAAATTAGGAACCTGTATAAAAACATGCAGCTGCTTCTCCTCATATTTCCCCTTTACTCCAATCCTTTGGTGTTTAATATTTGTTATACCTAAGTCAGTGGAGTTTTTTTTAGCCGTCTCCTGGAAAGCTTATAAAAAGTCCAGAGCCTTACTGGCCATCCTCCAAATACTTCTGATTCAACAAGCCTGAGATGGGGCCTGGGAATCTGCATATGCAATGAATTCCCATGTGGTTCTGATGCAGATGGCCCTGGAATCACACTTTAAAAACAGTTCTTTAAGACCTGTGATCTTGTAATAAAGAACGAATCACAGGCTTTTGTATTTCATCTCAACACTCCTGGAGTGAAACTTCCCCACAACAGAGAGTTAGGATCTGCTCTCAGAAATGAGTATCGTCATGTTATAAAATGAAATAACCGTCATGTCAACTTTACTTCCAACACCAGGGGGCACAATTCCTGAGGAATGACATTCCAACTACATTGATTATCAAAGCCCTCACTCCATTTCCAGCCACCTGCCCTCTGATTCCTTGTTGTTGACAATTACCTGGGTCACATAGGAACTTGCTCTGCCTTTTTGGACACTGTGACTGTGTGTCTGTTTACTCCTACATAGTCAGACTCTGTGGGCTGGTCAGCTCAATCGTGTTCTCTCTTGGTCTAACAGGTGACATGGGCCAGATTCCAGAGCCTGCTGTACACACACGATCACCATGGCTTACAAACTAACCTCAGAGCATCGAATGTTAACTTTTCCTAGCCCTTTGAGATCTTGGGTTAGGCAAAGATTAAAGCTCTTTTATGAGACAGAACATAGGAATTAGAGAAGCTTGCTAAGTTGGACATTATAAAAATTGAAAGCTTTTATTCTTTGGAAGATACTGTAAAAATGAAAAGAAAATCAAACTGGCAAAAAAATTTTACAAAACTCGTGTGGTAAATATATGATAACTAAGTGGTTTCCAGTTGTATAAAGAACTCTTAGTAATTAATTCATATTTCATTAATAAGAAAATAAACCACCACTATTTTAAAACAGACAAAAGACTTGAACAAATGCTTCATCAAAGATGACTCTGTGAGTGGTTAAAAACCTGTCAAAAGATGCTCAACCTCATTTGTCATTAGAAAAATTCAAATTAAAACTTTGATATCACTTCGCCTCTAAAAATGGTTAAAAAAAAACAAGTAGCAATATCAGATATTGCTAAAATATGGAACAACAGAAACTTCATAAATGCCTGGTGGAAATGAAAACTGGCACAACCACTTTGGAAAGCAGTTTGGCAGTTTCTTACCAACTTAAACACACGCTGTACATCCCAGCAATCCCACTTACCCAGAAGAAATGAGGATATACATACACACAAAAACCTGTATTCATATGTTTATGGCAACTTTACTCATAATCATCAAAAGCTGGAAGTAAATGGCCATCACTTGTAGAATGGATCAACAAATAATGTTACGTTCAAATAATGAAATATTACTCAGCAGTAAAGCAAAGTTCATGCATGCAAAGAGATTGATGAATTTCAGATGCGCTAGGATTTGTGAAAGAAGCCAGACCCCCAAAACTAAATACTGTATAAATCTTTTTTGTGTAGTATTCTAGTAATAGCAAAATATTAGGGACACAAAGTAGACCACTGGTTGCCAGGGTCAGGAGTAGAAAGAGAAAACTGATTATAAAGTTGCATCAGGAAACTATTTAATATGATGGACATGATCCATGTTTTTATTGTGATGATAGTGATATGACTGTATGCATTCGTCAAAATTCATAGAAATGTGTACCTAAAAGGTGAATTTTATTGTATATAATTTATATAAAAAAAACTAACTTCAAAAAAGTGAAATTTTATCAAAGATGGCAAGAGCAAGATCTCTTCATGGAACACTCCCTGTGACTTCGCAGCGTACTAGCAAGCACTCTTTTTCCTTCTACACTCTTTGAAGATAGGAGCCTAAATTTTTGCAAATACATTTCTTCCAACCAAAGTCCCATAATCTTTAAAATTAGACTTCTCCTGACCTCATAGTAATAGACCATGAAGGAGTTGAAAAAAATATCTTCTCTTAATAGGTTTTAAGGATCTGAAATGGAGAATGGGAATAAAGGTTGTGATAATCATACCATTTAAAAATTTTTAATTCTGTGCAATCTAATGACATCTAAAATTACTAGTTTCTACTAGAGTTGCATGTGTTTGCCTGGCAGTACAGTACAGACATGCACGTGAAACAGAGGGAATAGATTGTGACCCCAAAATACAACAGCAACAATGACCCTATCAATTTGGGTTATTTTAACGTTGAAGTCATGGCTGGTCAATATTCAACTTGCTAAAATCCTTTCAGAATCCATATCCTATTTCCAGATCGTGTTCTAGCCACCTGTGGGGTCACTGGAGGATTACTGGTAACACAAGTAATCCAGCCGTGGTGTCTAGCGCATCACGGACCTTTAGCTATCGTGAGTGTTAGAGAGACCAGCACCTGAGAACGAAACACCATGCAGATGGGCTTTTTGAAAATCCACCACGTTCTGGCTTTTTCAACCTTCAAAACAGATGAAGTGCTTGGGCGGGGGGGGTACTCCTGCTGCAAGATAATGGAGCCTGACTGCAGGGGTACAGTTTTCCATGACTCCCTGTGTGAAACACAGCATCTTATCAGAAGGGCACATTTATGAAAATGAACCACCGTGGATTCTATAGCTGACACTCTTCAGTACTGTGCAGTGTAATGATTTTGTTTATTTAAATAACATCTCTAACTAATGCACTAATTTCCAACTGAAGGGATATGGCAGTCTTATCACCCTCTGAGTTTCTCAATAAGAAGGGGTGCTTTGAGCATCGCTGAGACTTCACTGAAAATTAAATATTCACAACTGTTAATTAAAAGTGGATTTAAGGAGTGAGTGGGTTATGGATCTATCTGCTTGAGTACAGCCATGTAGGTGAGGACAGTTGCATTTTCAAGCACAGAAGAAATACACCATTTCCGGTAATTTAATGGAAGGCTGGATGGCAACCAAAGGGTAGGAAAGGTTTGATAGTCTTAATGGCTATGATCATGACTCACTAATCCAGCGGTCGTTTATAGGGTGCTTACTATATGCAAGGTACTGACTTAACCTCCCAGGAAATAATAAGAACAATCCATGATTTCTAATATCTCCATAAAAACTTGTGTGACTTCACTGAAGTCTAAGTGCTAGATACTTAAAAGATAAAAATGCCAGGCTAGCCTCATCAAGATAATAGCTCCAGTCCAACATTTGAACATTTTCACTTTAATCTTTAATAGTTAAAATATCACTGAACTGGAGAGGGAATGGGAGCAACATCCCTTTAATTAAAGGAAAAATAATGTGGCAAAATGTCATTGGGTTAAAACAAAACCAAACTTCTGAAATTTTTGCCATTTTTAAGTTTTTAAAGCAAGCTATAACCCATTAATAATGGCGTTTAATTAGAACAAACATAAACATGTCAGTAGAATTTGTTTAATGAGGAAATCCTTGAAGACTGCTATTAGAATGTGCCTGATATATTTAATTTACAGTATGATAGAGGGCATCTTTACATCTTTTTAATGATAATAAATAAAACAATTGGAAATAAAGCTCACAGCGAGAGTAGATAGGTATATTCATGTCATTCTGTGGAAAACAAACACCGGTTTTGTACATGTTGTTCTACATTAGTTGCTATTAACTCATAATTGTCACCAGAAAATGATCAGATTTTAGCTGGCATGACTAATAAGGGAAAAGATCCAAAAATATGTATTTATTTATTTATTGCTTTCAAAACAAATACGATGTTGTAGTAGTAGTAGTACTAGTAGTAGTAGTAGTAGTAGTAGTAGTAGTAATAATAATAATAATAATAATAATAATAATAATAATAATTGGGAGAGACTTCATTTGTTTGTGATGAAAACAAACCGTAGTCGGTGT